CTGGTGAGACCTTAGCAGACTCAGAACCCACATACCTAGAGACCTCTCCAGAATGTTCTGGGCAGAGCCAGCCATCTCCATCGCTGTGTCCTGCCCGTGTTTTCCTTGCACAAGCACCCTGGTGAGTACGAATGATCACAGGGCAACTGGGGACTATGCATGTGGAGAGCTCACCCATCCTTGCATCCTTGGACTCAGGACAAAAGCCATAAAGTATTTCAACACCCTAGTGTCCATCAATAGAGAGAGGATAAAAAAGCTGTTGTACATTTACACAGCGAAATACTACGTAGCTATAAAAAAGGAGAAAATATCACCCTTTGAGACAACATGGAAATTATTATGGTAAGAAAAATAAGCCAGTCAGAGAAAGGCAAATGTCACATATAAGTGATTATATGTGCAATCTAATGAACAAAATAAACTGATGAATAAAATAGAACCAGAGGCTAGGAAACATGGAACAGACTGACCAAAGTCAGGGGGAAGAGAGAAAGGGGCAGAGATTAAACCAAAGAACTTTTATGCATGTATGCTTAACCCATAGACACAGACAATAAGGCAGTGAAGACCTGGGGGGCAGAAACCAGGTAGATGGGAGGAAATGGAGAAAAAAAAGGGGGATATCTGTAATACTCTCAACAATAAAGATTAAAATTTAAATAAATAAAAAGTAATAAATATTGTATATTCAGGTATCTTCTTATTAAAATATTCTTCTCTATATTGCTTTTACATTTACTCAGTCAGAAATTCTATTTCAGATATTTATTAAGCACCTACTATGTGTCAGGCAATATACTCAACCCAAGTGTCATGGTGTCTTTCTTAAGAACACTTTAAGCTGACATCTTAAAAACTCTGGAGGGTTGTACTAACACTGTGTGTTCAAGATTTAGGGTGAGTAGGAGGGAAGTACCATCTTATATTTACACAAGTGATTTATTTATTTTACAAAGCATTTGAAAATCCTTTGATTAAGACCTCAGTGTTGAGTCAGTAGAGTCATGCCCGTTCCCATTCCAGGGGCCTATGGGACTAAACCTGAGGTGTGTTTTCTCTGGAGCAAGCACCTGCATTCGCCAGCCCGTCTCCCTTTGAACCGGCGATGGGTGACAGATGGCATCGGTACCACTCACAGGACGCAGGAGGCACTCAGCCTCCTCTCCGCATTACTCTCGCTTTGTGGGCTCCTTTTCCTCCTTTCCCTTCTTTCCCTCCCCCACTTGTCATTTTCCCCTTTCCCTCTTTCTGATGACTTTATCACCCACAGATACATACCTTAAGCATTGCTTAGCTGGTGAAACTCAGCACTAAAAAACGTCACTTTCTTTGCTCCTAGACTGGAACAAGCCCAAACTCCAGAGCATGACGTGGGGGAGGGGAGGAGGCACAGGACTGGCCCAGACTGGGCTCCTGGGGTATTGAGCTCTGTTCTACACCAGGGCCCCGGAGGTAAACTAGCAGCTTCCCCGGGGTCATAAACAAGGTTTACGCAGAAGCACTTCAAAGATACACGCAGCCGTGTGCAGGTCAGACAAGGGTCTGGAAATGGAGCCTGGGCTTTGCCTATGGAAACAGGAGCAGAAAGGCGATGCTTGCTTTGCCCCCTGATCCCAGCATCAGTCTCCCCAAACCCTGCCCCGGGGGCAGTGACTCTTGCCTGGCCCAGACTTAGTGGAGCAGAAAAGAAAAAGCAGCAGCAGATCCTAAATGTCAAGGTAAGGAGGAGTGTGTCCTGCCCAGAAAGAAAACCAAGAATGTTCTCTGAGGTAACAGCACGTGACTGGGATCCTCACGCCCCAGGGACCAGGAGCCAGTGCAAGTGGGAGGTGACGGAATGCAAAGTCGGCTGTGGACTCAGCACAATAAAAATGTCAAGAACGAGGCAGGGAAGAACGTGAGGAGAAGAGCGCCTTCTGTTTTGTGGGAGGCAGGTTATGCAACGTTACAAGCGCACGTTTGCTTTCATGTGTCTGCTGGGTTGCAAGTCCAGCCTGCTGTCTGCTGGAACTCAGGAGCACTGATGGGAAAGCGGCATCTGGGGACCTGTTTCCGCCCCGGGGAGTTCTGCCTCTTCCTTCCCAGGCCCCAGACTTTCTCCTGCAGCTGCAATGAGAGGAATTTAGAGAGCAGCTGATCAGGCCTGCCCAGAAAGTGAAAGGTAGTGAGGAGTGGAAGAGGCTGTACCTTCTCAGCATCCATATGGTTGGCAAAACAAGACAGAGCACAAGAAAATGCCAGGCATACTTCAACTTGGCATCATTTGTAAAGACACCTAGCTCAGCCCTTGCCTTGCCATAGAATAGAAACAGCCCTACAGCCTCCAGGTCCCAGCCTCTCCAATGCAAACCCCTGCCAGCGGCCCTGTCCTGCCCAGCTGGGAGGCCTAGGACTTGCCTTTGCCGTTTTACATCAGCCCAGCCGCAGGGCAGCATGGGTAATGGAAAACACTGGAGCCGGTGTCAGGAACTTGAGCTTTCTCGTCTCAAGTCCACCAGTAATTTGCTTAGTTGACTGTAAGGACGTGAACTAACTAAACTTTCCGGATCTTCGTTTCCTCACTGGGAAAATCGGAGTAATGCATGCCCTATTGCCCTCCCAGAGAGCAGTGAGTCTCTAGGAGCGATTCAAAGGTGAGAGGTGCTCATTGCACAGCCTGTGCCTGCGGGTCGGGGTCTTGCTGACTGCCCTCTCAAGGCCTCTCTTGCCCTCACTCCCAAGTGCAGTGCTGTCCCGGGAGGGCAGAGTACCCGCCGGTCTGGAGGACCCTCGGGGGTTGTACAAACAGAACAAGTCTAGAACCAGGTCACTCCCAGGGGGCACACAGACGCCCTCTGGGGACAGGCAAGCAGCCTGCTTGCTGCCTGTGTGGTGCCCGGCTTCTCCTGTGTTTTTCCTTTAGAAAATTCCTAAATCTCAGTACAAAGTGGCGGCTGGAGCAATTGGAACTGCCACCCCCCAAAAAAAATAAATAAATAAATAAAATAAATAAAAAACATGAATAGGGGCCAGTGAGAACGCCTCTGTGATGTCAACAGAGAAGCAACTGTCAGTTGGGCCCAGCCCTCCAGCTAAACCGCAGAGCGGGCATGGGTCACCCAGGGAGGTTTTCTGAAAGGGGGAACTCCATGCCCTAGGGTTGGAAAAACTAATAATTCTGGAAAAGAAAGCAAGGTTTATTGCACGATCATATAATATAATGCTCACGGCTGTAAAACGGGAATACCCATGGCATCCTTCACTGTGGCCCAGCCAGGTCCTTGGGCAGTGATGGCGCAGAAAGGGGATGCCGAGCCCTTCGCCCAGGCTCCGAGAGAAAAGCTCTGCCGTCATCCAGTTAAAAACAATGAAAGCAAACGACTGTGTGACAGAAATGGTGCTGGTGGGAGGGCGACTGGAAAGAGACTAAGCAGTTCCCAGAATAAATTCCCATGTAAATCCGGGGAATGCTGGTGGAGAGAAGCCACCGCTCATTCTTTTCTTTAAGCTGGATAATACCCTCCTGCCAGAGCAGAGCTGTTCTTGGCACCGGGACCCACACGTGAGGAGGGAATCAAAGCCCCGAGCCTGAGGCAGGATCCATCAGAAAGCTGAAGGCAGGGACCTGTGGGCAACAACAAAAAAAAGATGTGTTGGCGGCAGGAACAAAGATTAACTGTCCCAAGGGAGCGGGTCCAGCTTTGCAGGCCCTCAGAAGTGCGGCTGGTCAGCGAGCGGCTGACACCCCTGAGCCCTTCGCCTCCGCGCTGAGGGCCCAGGCCAGGCTTCTGGGAGCTGAGCCCCCAGCTCCTGCTGACTTGTGCACCAATTCTGGAAGGACATTCTCTGAACACATCAGTGAGGATTCATCTTGTGACGCAAAAGATCCACACAGAAAGCAGTGAAACCAGGCAGGGAGAGTCTTCCCTTCCCTTATCTTCTATTTCACCGGAACCACCTCTGGGGACTTTGGCACGCTTGACAAATGTCAGAATTTGGAAGGATGTCTTTGTTGGCAGAGGGAAAGCCATGATTACACAGGAGCATGCCGCCGTAGTTCTCTGTGCTAAAACTCTAGGCGGTGGGCAGAGACACCTTTCCTCTCTTTTCACACCTTTCCGCTCTTTGCTGATGTGCAAAGTCCTCAAGGCAGTAGCATGTGAGTGAAGATGAGATTCTCTGCTGTGACAAAAACAAATCCGTCACAAGCGCTATGCGCGCCAGCCAAAGGCATCACGTTGTCTAAACGAATCACCAGGCAGCGGCAGCTACACTTGCCTGACTTTGAAATCCTTGACTCATGGAACACTCATCTCCACTAACACCCACTGCTTATGCAAGCGCCTTTCTCCAGGTGACTCGAGGCAGTTTACAAGCCGCTGGCTCAATCCTCATCATAGAGCATTGGGTGTGGAAAGAGGAAGGTTACACATAATTGTCTGCATGTGATATGGGGAAACCGGGGCTCAAACAAAATGCGTAGATATTTATGAGTCACACACTGAACATGGTAGAGCCAAAATGAGCTATTCTGAATTCTAAGCAAGACTGTTTTCCAAAATGCAAACTCACTGGGTTTTATGTTTAATAACCAATTTTCCTCCCTTCATTCCATCTCTGACTCTTGCTCCATCACTCTTGCCATTTCATGGCCCTTTGGTTGATTTTAGAGGCCTCTCGACCTTCCTCTAGTCTGTACCCAATCCCAGTTCTGACAGTCACTTTATTCTTTACATTTGATCGATTATTGGCTATTACATTGATCCTGATATCTCTCCCATGTTGAGCCTCTACTTCGCCTTTCCCATACCTGACCACAATCCATAATCTTGGTGCCCAGGGGTAGGAATGGCAATAAGGTGAGGATAGGGGATGAAGAGAAGCTCAAACATGGAGTATAAAATGCCCATTTCACCCATCATTTATTTTTTTTTAAAAGCTGAACATTTATTGGCTGAAGTTTTTTAGGTCAAATCAAAATATCCTCATGACAAAATAGCTGCACTAAAGTGGCTCTATTAAAATAGCTGCATCCAATGAACTGAGAAGCTAGATGTCAGCTGCTCCTGCACCTGACTTTGGTCCTCTATCACTTGCCCTTGCCTTCTGTTCTGCGGTATTCTGGTGTGTGGCCAATCAGACGAGGAGCTAGCACCAGGGCCACTTTTTATCTTGTTCCAAGTGAGGACTATGTAGGTGTTACAAGTGAAACTGGTGCAGACGCTGAACAGGATGCTAATGGCATGGCCATGTGTTTCCACCACCCTGTGAGGCACCGGGCTGGCCTCAGTCCTGCCCCCATCCACCCACAAACTCTTGTTGGGTCAGAAATGCAGATTCTTGGATTGTGCCAGACAGCCAGATGATGCTGGGGTGGAAAAAAAGAAAGAAAAAGCAGATTTCTAAATAAAGCACATCTCATTTATAAAAATAAATAGCCACAGCCTAGCAACATGCTCAGCTTCCCTCTGTGATGTAACCTCTGTGGCTGGAGCAGAGAATGACACAGCCTTCAGAGAGCACCACGCCCTGGGCCCTCCCCATGTGTAGTTCTCATCTGGAGAGTGCTGACAGTGGCGCTGTGAGGGCCCAGCTCCTCATTCCAGGCCAAACCAGGGCTAGTCTCCAAAGAAGCAGGAAGGAGCCAGAGCTTCCCAAACTTAACGGGGCCCCTAAATACCTACAGGCTCATGGCAGTAAGTCACCACCTGAGGCAAAAGCAGATGAAGTTCTTTCGGGTGCTCTATTGAGACAGAATCCCCTCTTTGAGACCATGTCTTCTATGTTTACTACTGAATGCCCAGTACCCAGCTTAGCACATGGCAGACAATAAATAGGTGACAGAAGACTGGATGGAGATATGAGTGAATGAATGTTGTCATCCCATAACCGCTGCTTCCCAAACTCTCCTCCCTAAATGGAGTAAACTCCAGGATCTAAAAAGAACTGTAATCTCCTGCAGAGAACTCAGCACAAAGGCAATGTGTCCCTGGACTTGATGTTTACATTTTAAGTGTTAACTGGGGTAAGCACCTGAGAGGTTACTAGGAAGTGCGGGCTTTTGTAAGCCAGGTGCAGGTGGTGTGGCCAGCACTCCCGGAAGAGCGGACGACATGGGATGTGCACTTGGAAACAGTTGTCAGTGCTCCTGAACGCCTCTCCTTCTTCAGTCAGCTTCAGCTCTAAGGGTGAGGCATTGCTAAGCCAAGAAGTTATAGTACAAAATAGTACATGAGCTTCTGCTCTTACTCTTGTCAGGAAACAAAATGTGGTGTCCACAATGCCTCTGGAGCTCCGCTCACACACATCAGAAATGGATCACAGTCTGTAAGACTTAATCCCACCTCCAACCCTCCCACATTGAAATGGTTAAGTCAGTACAGAGTGATCCCGACACAGCCCTCAGAGAACTGAAAACGAAAATCTTCTGAACCCTGTGAGGATCCCCGTGAGGTTCAGGGGAGAATCTTAACTCCTGGGATCAATTGTTTCTGAGAGGCCCCAGGTATTCCCAGCAACCAGAGTGGTGGAAGACAGCATGGCAAAGTCGTAAATCACCTCTCAGAGCAGAGGCCCTGGGTTTAAAAGATCAGAGAAATTGGCCCACAATTCAGAAATCTGTCTTCAGACATCCTCGTCTGGTCTAGCCAGAAACAGTAAAACCCCATCCATGGCAGGGAAAAGAAAGCTCCTGATTAAATTCAGATGTACAAGAATACATTACAAGTCTGTAATACTTTATAATGGACAAAAAAAAGAAAAAATCTAAAGAGCATCAAAAGTGATACAAAGCCCTGGCCGGTGTTGCTCAATGATTAGAATGTCAGCCTGCGGACCAAAGGGTCTCGGGTTCAATTCCTGGTCAAGGGCACTCACATAACTGGGTTGCAGGTTCAACTTGATCCCTGGCCTCGGCTGGGAAGTGTTTCTCTCTCTCTCTCTCTCTCTCTCTCTCTCTCTCTCTCTCTCTCTCTCTCTCTCTCTCTCCCCCCCCCCCCCACCCTTTCTGTCACTCTCTCTAAAAATCAATGGGGAAAAATATCCTCAGGTGAGGATTAACAAAACAAAACAAAAGTGATACAATAGCTCCAGTTTTACATAACAGAGAATTCTGAGGCCTCACAGACTCCTAGATCATCTCTGTCCCACAGCTTCCCAGACGAAGCTTTGTTACTGGAATATTTAGGAAGAGGGACTCCACCAGGGACCTGACTGGAAGTGGAACTTCAAGGACACCGCCCCAGCAGAGGGTAGCACACAGACTGCTCAGTGACCCTCAACTCTCCTTGGTGTTTCTAAGAAAAGCCCTCTCTAGCGCAGACTGGCCATGGCATTCACAACCACAGGCCTCTGCTCCAGCCAGGTGAGGGGACAGTGTGTTTTGTGGGTTCCTAATGCTCCATGCCCAGGGCTCCCACTTCTGAAACGGCTGCTCAGTGATAAGACTCCACTGACCCCCATTCTCTTTTAGAAAATACAAAGGTTCATGAGCACCAGGTCCAAGACTTGGCTCTGTGATCCTAATCACTCGGAAACTCAGTTCCCTCATCTATAAAATGGAGACAATAGAAGCCCTTCTGTCTGCCTCCCCAAAATTGTGTGAGGAGCAAATGAAACACTATTATGTTCAAATGCTTCTCAACTGTAAGCCATAGTTCTTTGTGAGACTGCTGTCTAGATTATAAGGGTTTATAATGAGAAGTTTGCTTCTGCTATGGGGAGCGAGACTTCTTTGTCACACCCTCAGGGTGCTACCTAGTTCCCAGCCTTCTAGTGCTTGGCCATCCTGATCACAATCCTAAGTTTTGCAGGGATTCCTGGCTTGTTCCCTTGGCTTCACATACCAAAGACTTCTAACATGTTTGTATGTCTGTGTGTAGGAAATAGGCATCTGTGACCCATCTCTAGCATAGTTAACTTTTAATGGAAATGGTTACTGAGTTTCCCCAGGACAAACAGAATGTAGGGAGGAGGGAAGAGGATTTAAGAACAAAGAACTGTGGGTATGGACCAGCAGCACAGTGAAAACCCCAGAGGCTCCTGCCTCAACTACAGGAGGAGGTGGAGACAACTAGAAAAGGCCTCAGTCCAATTTTTTTTTTTAAATGGCCCAATAGGAGACAGTAGTCTTAGGTAATGTATGAGGAAACAGGTGACTCCATAGTGCTCAGCCAATGAGGAACCAGAGGAGGGACTAGGTAAATAAATAGGCTGTGATCACTGCCCCAGGTGTGCCTGTACAATTGGATATCCATTCTTGAGAATATATTAAAAGTTTCATTTTCTCCATACTTCTGTCTCCAAGTCTACTATTTGAATTCGGACAAGGTGAGCATTCCTCACAATTGCTTCTCTCTCCTTATAATCCCTCAGAAAGTTATAGAATTCTAGAACACATGAGAGATTTTGGGGGCTCACATAGTTCATCCACCCCTCATTTTGTAGGTGGAGGCCCGGGGTCACAGGAAGGTTAAGAGTCTGTCCAAGATCATACCAACTTTCACTTGTCCTCTTTCTGGCTCCTCTCACAGCCCGCCAGTGGGTCTTTGAGGGTCAAGTCCACATGCCCCCCACTTTTGAATGAGTAATTACTACTCAAGCTAAGCGTAGTATGTAGGATGTGTGTGTGGGGGGGTGGGGGTGGGGGCAGAGAGCAGGAGCAGAGCAGCCAGTTGAGGACAAGTATAATAGTTATGAAGTAATGGCAGCTACAGTGACAGGTGCCTCTAGAGATTTCGATGATACTTCATCTTAGTAGAGTACATCTTTTGAATTTTCCTTTTATTTCTGAGAAATAAGTACACAGTTGGCCCTTGAACAACATAGGTTTGCCTGTGTGGGTACACTTATACATTAATTTTTCAGCAAATATATACATTACTGTAAATGTATTTTCTTTATGATTTTCTTAACATTATCTTTTCTCTAGCTTACTTTATTGTAAAAATACAGTATATAACACATATACAAAATATGTGCTAATCAACTTTATATTATCAGGAAGGTTTCCAATCACAGTAGGCTATTAGTATAGTATTTAAAAATCAAAAGTTATACTTAGATTTTTTTACCTGATGGGGGATCAGTGCCTCCAACCTCCACATTGTTCAAGTGTCAACTGAATGATCATTCCACTTTTGTAGTTATTTGAACTCATTTGCATTCTCCAAGAAATGACGGATTACATCCATACAAAGCATAGATGCCCCTCATATCGCCGGGTGTCTGGTTGTTTTAGAAGAAAGTATGAGGGAACTAGAGTTAACTGGGTGATAATTCCTGTATCTTTTGCTCACCTTCCTCTCAGCAGATGCTCTTGATATCTATCCAATAGTGATCGACTAAGGGACGTCTGGACCACAAGAATACCTAAGTCTATTGAGGGCTGAGAGGATCAGTATCTCAGCCCACTGGTACCCCACTGACCTCTTTGAACTATAGGATTACAAAACTCTGGCATAAAAACAAAACAAAAACAAACAAACAAACAAAAAACAACAACATACAGATCTGGCCTCCATTGCAAATCTGAAATCCACACAATCTCTAGGTTTCTGATGAAACTAGCAAAACCTAGGTAGTCAAACTTCCACTGATGAGCCAATATTTCAAAGCTTCCTCCAAGGGTGTTTCCTGCACTGGGACTGGTGTGGGTTTCTGTTTACATCCCCACTTTCTGGGCCCACGTTTACTCCATGTGTACACAGAGTGGCAGGTTGAGCAATGCCCTAATGACTTTGGGCAAGTAATCCCAGAACACATTCAGCCTGCATTAATTGCTAATCTAAAATGAGTTTTACAAAAGCAGTAATATATATATATATATATTTTATGGTGGTGTTTCAAGTCACTAAGTAATATTCCAAAATTTTAAACTTCAGAAGTTTCTTATTAATAAATTTAGATAAACTGACTTTCTTGAAACATGGGAAGATCTGAAAACTGAGGGCACTTCCCCACAACTCCCCAACCCCATCCCATGGTCACAATCATCTGAGTCTGAGGGCCTAGGGCCTGCAGTTGATAGTGTCAGCTGCCAGAGTTTAAATCTCATCTCTGCTCCATTCAGGTAATCATATTCATGAACTTTACCTCTCAAAATCTTGGTTTCTCATCTTTAAAGACATTATTTTTTGTGTGTTCAAAAAATGCTTAAAACAGTGGCTAGCACCTAATAATCATCCATCAAATATCCATACTTTCTTCTCCCACCCCCTTGTGTGTGTGGGTAGCGTTTCTATTTTTCTTACCCAGAAGTATAACTTCTAATATAGATAGTTCAATAAATGGAGTTTGGCAACCATGGTGCTTCAAGTCACTAGGTAATAAGCAGCTTGTGTACATCCTTTCCTGGGTTGATTGGCCTTATTCCCAGCATGAGACATGTCCCTTCTCTCTCTCTAAGCCTCTTTCTCATCCTGCTGAAGCCCATAATGAAACCTGACATCAGTGCAAAGAGCACACAGATAGGCTGAGTGCTCAGACTTTCTAATTAAAGGTTTCTGGACAGAAGAAACACAGCCCCCTGTGTAGCCCCAAAGCATCTCATCTTCTTTTTAATACCCAGCTTCCCCCAGACATATGAGGAGAAAATATTTTTAGCAATTCTATGAACAAGTCAATCAATAAGAGGACATGAATCCATAAGAAAATGTGGGGCTCGTTTCCTCACAGAAAGTTCTATTTAATAAACCAATTTCTGCTGCTAAGCAACCTTGATGATGCCTCTTCCACAAATACAGCTAAGTGGAATCCTTGATTGTCTACAGTGGATTAACTTAAAGCCGTTGTGAGTCAAAAGAAGGTACCGGAGAAAGTTTTACGCAGGCTGTGGGTGCATGTGAAATATTGCATAACAAAACAGGAGTGGCAGGCCCAGGCTGTGCTGTATAAGGCACGCCGGCGTTTTGCTCATGCTTTGCGGGTTGACACTCCCTTTTTGGGAGCCAGCCGCAAAGACCTGGGTTGTTTACTCACGGCTGAGTGAATGGTGTCATGTGTGGGAGACAGTCTCCTGTTCTCTCAAAACACTAACACTTAATCGGTGGTTCGATCTTACACCGAACTCAGGGAAGTCAAGGGAACACCCTGGAAGTGAGAAAGACTTTGCGGTGGACTTGATGTTGCAACTGTCAAATCCGCAGCATAGTCATTATGCTAAGGAGATGAGGTGAACCGGGAGCCAGCCAGTAAGAGCAGCCGGAGAGTGGTGCCATTTCCCACTGATCCAGCCTTCTGGCTCTGTGGGGAGAGGTAGGGCAGCGGGGTGCCAGCCCACAGTTCCTTTGACAAAAGTTGACACACTGGCTGGCTACACCTCCCTTTGCTGAAATAATGGAAAATCCTTTGGAGTAATTTCCTAAGCCTCTAAATATATGTTTCACCTAATAAATAAATATGGCTATTTAAGCAAAGCCAATCAGCTAACGTGAAGAACATTTGGAGGGATGAGTGTTTGGAGTGAGGAAAGATATTTCTGAGAAAATTCATCTTCTTTATAGTATCTTCATCACCATCTTTTTTACACTGAAAAGAGTCTAATTAAAAGTGCTTGCCTATATTTAAATTAAACTATTAAGCTGCTGACGATAAAACTACAAGAAGTGAAGAACTGCCGTTTTGATTATTCTTTTGGCATCTTTGACCCTTGGCTCTCTTCCCTGCTCCTAATCTCTAAAAACATCGCCAAGACCTGGAAATTGTCACACCAAATCTCCCTGCATCACTTCCTGCTGCTGCATCGCCCTCCAGGATGCGGTTTCCTTCCCCCTGGACTCTAGGGCAGCCTCTCAGGAAAACTGAGTTTAAAGAGATAAGATAGCTGCCTCCTGAAACCCACCACACTCCCCCTCCTGCTGGAGAAACAAACAAATAAACAAACAAACAAAGCCATAGCACCAACTGAACCAGTGTCAGACTCCTGGGCTAGAAAGCCCTTTAACTTCACGTTGCTTCCAGCTTTTCGTCTATAAAAGCAAAGCAGGGAACTTGCTCACTGCTCACTGCCCAGGACTGCTGAGAGGCTTTATGAACAATGGTTTGGAGAGCTCCTGGAAGGCGTGGAGAAATCTGATCGCTGTTCATTGAGAGGAAAGATCATTCGAAACCAGGAAGCCATCAACAGCCTACAGGGAAGGAAGAGATGAAAACACCCTTCTCGGGAACGTGAGATCATCTCCAATCTGACGAAAACTGTGCTGTGAGGACCAGCAGAGCGAGGGTGCGGCGAATGCCAGTGGAGGCTGAAGAAGCAGTGGAGATGAGAAGAGGGAGCTGGCTCCAGGATAATCAGAAATCCAGACAACTTTTCCCACCGAACCCCTGTTTCGGACCTGTTCTATATGTTGATCAGTATATTGCTTACATGGGTATACAGTTTCCAATGTTTATCAAACGATACACCTATTGTACAGTATATATAAATTGTATCTTAATTTTTTAAAATCTACCTATCTAATCCCATTTGAGTCAATGAGTTTCCTATTGTACCGATGAGCAGCTGTACTCCAATTACCAATTTTTATAACATAAGTCCTCATATTTATAGTCAATAAGATTAATGTATGCAAATATGGGTATTCATGAGTCATAATCATAGATATAGTTATTAAAACCGGCTTTATCTCTCATTCTCTAGTAACTTATCTCTGCACATTTAAAATGCACTGATAATTATTCAAATGCCAAATGTCTTTGGAATTACCAAAAAATAAAATTAAATTGTGAGCAGCAGACTTTTACTGTTAGATGTTTTGCTATATTCTAATACATTAAAAACTGAAAATAGAAATGTGACAACTCTGTCAGAATATTGGTTTGCCCAAATCATCCTATACTCTGACTAATAAGCCAAGCGTAATAATAGAGTTTATGATATGTATGATTTAGACTTTGGGGGGAAAAAATAGGTAACAATAGTAATAACTGAATACATGATTAGGTGTTTGGTTTACAGTTCAAATGCAAAGGATACATTCTGGTTAACCCAGACTCATGAGAACAATCAATGTCTGAAAGAAGCCCAAAGCTGAGTCCTTGTTAAGAAACATTGTACTTTTGTAAAACTCAAATAAGTGTGAATTTCAACTTTGTGCATTATCATTCTAAAAGAAACTTTAAATAAACAAAGAAATAACTTATCTAAGAAGAGGCAGTGATTATAACAAATCAACTAATTTGCCACCAGTTCAATATTCCTGTCAATATCAGCACAGGCTCAATCACTAAGCAGTGAGGTATAATCACCACACAACCTTCCTCAGCATCATCACAGCTTAGGTCATCTGAGACTTGGAGATTTGCATGCAGCAAATGTATGGAGACTGCTCTAAGGAAAAGCACCTGAGGAGAACAGTGAAAACAGGATTGAAAGCTGAACCTCCTGCAGTGGCAACAGAGATCTAAGATGATCTCAGGAGGAATTCTGAAGATGTACGGAGAATCTACTGATGACCCTAAAGGAGAAAAGGGGGCCAAAATTTATATCCCTACATCAACCCCTCGTTGAATGTGGACTCACCCCCCACCCCCCAAAGAGACTTGACTTTGAGCAAGAAACCTTCTTTTGACATAGAGAGCCATCAGCAGCCAGGAGGAGCTTAAGGGGAATTTAGTGTTACACTACAAGCTTCATGATATGAGTCTTTACTAAATGGCCAGCCATGTGCTAAGTTCTTTACACATGTTTTCTAATTTCACTATAGTCCTAGGAAAGAGATACATGTTTACCCTTTTTACAGTTGAGGAAACTGAGGCTTGGGAAAGCTAAGTAACTTGCTCCCAAATCAGTACATCCTGAATTCAGACTCAGGCTACATGTCTCCAAAGCCCTTGCACTTGAGCAAAACCCTGGACGTAGAGTCACGAGGCCAGGATCCCCTCACACTGACCAGCTGTGTAGCCTTGGCCAAGACACAGCTCTTCTTAACCTGTGGAGAGTTGGCATATTCCTGAAACATTCAGGGATGCCCTAAGGCATAAAAAGAGTGGGGAGGAAGGAGCAGCTGGACCAGGGCTAGAGGAACGATTCTCCTGTGGACCTGCTTTCCAGGGCTGGTGGTGTCCAGCCATCGATTTGGTGGTGTCTACAGGAGTGGCAAACTTGAGCATCATTAAGGCCAATGCCAATATCCAAATTGCTTTTGGACAATAGTGGTGCCTGCAATCAGATAAATGGAAGGGCTGTCATTCTGGGTTGTTCATCCACCTGGAAGCAGGACTCCTGGCAGTGGGCAGGGGACAGGGAATTTAGTAAGAGGAGGAAAATGTTAAGCGTCGCAGCTGGCAGGTACCAATAGGGAGTACTGCAGTCCAGCTGTACTAATAAACCTTACCCTGGCTGACAAGGCCATGACGATCTTCACCTACAGACATACTTCTCCCACCACAACCACTGCTGCTTTTACCTCCTGCCCTGCCCTCAGCTACACTGAGCTACTTTTCCTTTCTCCAGCATTTCTCAGCTACAGGCTTCTGCCTAGAAGACCCTTCTCCTTGGCTCTCTTTCTTTACCTGACCAACTCCTATCCATCCCTCAGGTGTGTGCCAGGACTCTTCCAAGAAGCCTTCCTTGACCTCCGGTGACTGGGTTAGGTGGTCTCCTGTGTTCCGCCAGATCAGCATGTGTAGGGAGGATTATATAATGACTGGCACATGATGAGTACTCTAGAAATAGTGGCTGTCATTCATCTTATTCTTTCTTCCTTGATAGCACTTAGCATTCTGAACTGGAGACCAGCCGTGCTTTGCCTGGGCCTCGGCCTTTACTCTCTCTTCAGCATCTGCCACTTTGCAGAGTACACAAAAATGCCTGATAAATATTTGTTGAAACAATAAAAGCCTCAGTTACACAACTCAGGTAAACATTGATAGGACAACATGAGGAGGGGGAAATGGAAGAGCTTGGCCAGGGCTCTCCTGCAATCTCCCAGAGACTGGCCCATGGACCAGTGTCATTCACTCAGGGTCTGAGCTTCTGTCTACTTTGGCAGTTGTGCTCAGGATTGTATAAGCAACAGGGAGGAATCAGGTCTCCTGGCTGAAGACCCTCAGAGCTTTTAACTGAGAAGGCAGACAGGGGTGGTCATATGGGCAGGACTACTGTTCACAACACAATGTGATTCAACCTCTCATCGCTGTTGTTTTAAGAAGTGGTGGAGCTTATGGAATAAACACGTGATAAACATTGCAGGTCAGACACACCTGCAATCAAGCCACTATTCTTTTACCTAGAGCTACAGGGATAGCTTTAGGCAAGGGCAAGACTTATGGGATTTGAAAGCCAGCTCCTTCACTTCCTTGCTGTGTGATATTAGACAACTTATGTAAGTTCTCCGTGCCTTGGTTTTCTTATCTGTAAAAGGCAGATAACAATTCCTCCTTCACAAGGTTATTAGGATTGAAGTAGTTCATAATTGTATGGCTCTTAAAATGGGTCTTGGCATATAGTAAGTGCTAGATAAAGGTTTACCTAATCATTTGTAGTTTTAATTTTTCATCAGAAAAATGGATCTATGTAGAATACTTGATATAGTGTCTGATATAAGGCATGCTCTCAGTAATTATAATTACCATTATTTCTATTGCTATTACTTCTCTTGTAAGTAGAAAATACTTTCTCAGAGTGAATTTAAATAAGTAACAGAAAGTTTCTTTCTGTGGATACTTTTGTTTCTACTGATAATTTGGGGAGAAAAAGAGCTATTTTTGTGTGCTGCTGAGCCAGCCACCTCCTAGTGCTTTGCCTTCATTCCCTGATGTTCTGAAAACCTTCTTCATAGACCCAAACACTCAACTGCATACCCACTTCTCTGGCAAATGTGCAAAGAAAGGGTATATTAATTTTCTTGGGCTGACGTAACAAAGTACCACAAACTCAGTCCCTTAAAACAACAGAAAATTGTTCTCTCACAAACTCTGGAATCAAAAATCTGAAGCCAAGGTGTCTGCAGAGCCATGCTCCCTCTGAAAGCTCTAGGGGAGAGGCCTTCCTCACCGCTTCCAGCTTCTGGCGACTCTGGATGTTCCTTGGTTTATGGCAGCGTCACTCCCATCTCTGCTTTTGGTTCACAGGGCTCCTCCTTCTGTGTGTCTCTGTCCCAAATCTCCCTCTTCCTATCTCTATCAAAAGATATCTGTCATTGGATTTAGGTTCCATTCTAAATTCTGGAAAATCTCATTTTGCAATCCTTAATTATTTCTACAAAGACACCTTTTCCAAATAAGTTCACATTCACAGGTATCTGGGGTTACAATGTGGACATAGCTTTGTGGACCAATCATTCACCCACTGTAAGGGTAATAGGGGCTCCAATTTGCTCTAAATAAAATCCACCCCTTTACTGTATTTGAACTTATATACATCTCCTTGGTCCTTTCCCTTTTCCCTGCATACTCATTCCAGTCTCATCCTTCCTCTTTGATTGGGTGTTCACAGCCAGTAGGGCAAGCAAGACATACTAACCAACCGATCTGCTCCTTCCTGGGCTCCACTGTGGCCCACATCTGCCTACACCTGCTTTCTGCCTTAGGACTCACTACGGATCCAATGGGCAGCACATTGGATACTTGAGCCCATGAAAGCCTATTCTGCTTGGCCCACCCAGGTGGCTTGCAGACAGCCAGGGGAGTCAGATGTCGCTCTGGGATCTTGCAATGCCAGCTTGCCCCACTTGGCTTCTGACCAGGGATGCCTTGGTCACACATCAAGTTTCATAGATGAGGCCAAAGCAGGAGACACTGTTGAGCTGGAACGAGTAGAAGCAGGTGATCTGGGTCAGAGCAGAAATTACGTTTGTACTTAGACCAGGCAAATAGGCTTGAAGAAGGAAATCTGGGTCAAAACCTTGGCAGACTGGCAGGAAACATGAGTCCTGATACAGATATAAAAGTGGAGTCTGGCTTTCCATCCATACCGGCCAGTTCTTGGTTCTTGAAAGTCTGATTGAGGTAGGTCTGTGACATGAAGCATATCATGCAGTGGAAGGGCCAACTATATTTAGCATATATTCATTGAGCATTTGCTATATGCCAGGATCTGAGGATATAGAGATAAGACATAATCCTTATCTTCAAGTAAATTAAAGAATAGCAGGGGTCACACACATAAAGAACTAATTGTCATAAAATGTGATGACACTATGTGCACAGTATTATAAGAGGCCCAAAGAGAAAGTAATTCATTCTGCCTTGGGTTAGGGGGTGGGTCATGCTGAAGGCACAGAGGAGCTAACATTTGAGTGGGACCTTAAAGAATTCAGTAAGGACAATGTGGGAAGAGCAGCTCAGGAAGTTCACTGTCCAGCTGACCAAGCAGGTGCCTCTCCTTCCCCTCCTTCTTTGTGTTGATTTCATTCAAAGCCTAGATCTTATGTAAAAAGAACCACCTTCATACAAGCACTATTTTTTATCAATACTATAGAGACATACGTATATTAAACATATTCTACAAGTGGGTCATGGCCCAGGGAAACAACCAATCAGAAAGAAAACAACAAATCCGATTGTGAGAAACTAGGCACTGGCTGAAAGGTAGAGGCCTCACAGCTACTACTACTACTATTATGCATGTGTAGTAAACTTGAGAGTATCAGCATATTACAATGATGCATCACCACTGAGATTATCATGTAGTCTATTTATTATAGAAATCTTTCTTATTTAAAGTGTTTTCCATTTATTTTACATGTAATAAAGATTTAGGTTTCTCAAAACCCCCAAGATGCCAATCTCTGATAAAAGGCAAAGAAGCTATTGCTCATTACTCCCTGTTCCATATGGTTTCAGTATTTAAGGAATATCTCTGAATTTTTCTTGTGTTTTGCAACACAACATCTTTATAATTAGTAATGATATTTTAAAATAGGGGCATCTTCCTGGAATATTAATTTTATCTAATTATTATTAGGTTATATTTAAGTAACCTAACTGGGTAAGTAGGTTTAAATGTATACCAATTTTTAATTGATTTTTTTTTAAGAGAGAGAGTAAGGGAGACGGATAGAGAGATAGAAATAGCAATGAGAGAGCAACAACAATTGGCTGCCTATTGCATACCCCTTACTGGGGATCAAGTCCACACCCTGGGCATGTGCTCTGACTAGGAATTAAGCCAGTAACCTCTTGGTTCATAAATGGAAGCTCAACCACTAAGCAACACCAGCTAGGCAAATGAATCCCAATTTTAAAACAAAGATGGATATATCTCATTCAGCATTTTACACACACACACACACACACACACACACACGCACACACGGTATTCCTTGGTTTTTGAAAGTTTGTTGCATCACTTTGCTTTTACCAAAGACTTACATTAGTACCTGTTTTTGCTAACTGAAAGAATATTTTCACTTTAATGGGGGAAAAGGGGAAAACAGTGTTCAACATTTGTTTTGCAGCTAGAGGCAGAGCATATCCTAGGCATTGGGAGTGGCACTGCTTTTATTATATGTTATTTTAGGTTTTATGTGTTATTTGGTGTGATTTGGTAAGTTATTTTTAGGGTCTGGGAACAATCAAACATGTTTCCATATAAATTAATGGTAATTGCTTCTCCGCTGTACATCATTTTCATTTACAAAAGGTCTCATAGGGACACTCCACTTTCAGATAGTGGGGTAAACTTGTATATCTATGTAGATCAGCATTGAATATAAAATTCAAATAAATTTTAGAATGAAAACAACAGACCTCAAAAAAACATGAAAGAATCCAGATACAAAAGACTACACACTATTTGAATCCATTTACATGACATTCTGAAAAAGGCAAATTATAAGAATAAAAATTGTATCTGGTTGCCAGGGTCTGGGAGTGAGAGAAGGAAATTTATTGCAAATTAATATAAGGAAATTTGGGGATGATGGAATTGTTCTATATCTTGATGGTGATAGTGGTTACATAATTGTATATATTTGTCAAAATTCAGCCAATTGTACAACTGAAAAGGATCAATTTAACTGTTTGTCAAGGCTCCCTTTTCAGGTTAATTCACTCTACATCTGTTCTTTCTTTCTTTTCTTTTTTTAACACATATTTTATTGGTTTTTTACAGAGAGGAAGGGAGAGGGGAAAAGAGTTAGAAACATCAAAGAGACAGAAACATTGATCAGCTGCCTATTGCACACCTCTTACTGGGGATGTGCCCGCAACCAAGGTACATGCCCTTGACTGGAATCGAACCTGAGATTTTTTAGTCTGCAGGCTGACGCTCTATCCACTGAACCAAACTGGTTAGGGCATACATCTGTTATTTCTTATATGCTTTTAGAAATACCTGGGAGAGAAGTTTGATAATTATCCATCTGAATTTTTTTTCTCTCTAAAAGAATGGGTTTTTAGTCTGATTCTG